GTATGTATGTATGTATGTAATTATGGATGTAATTATGTATGTAATTATGTATGTATGAATGTATGTATGTATGTATGTATGTATGTATGTATGTAATTATGGATGTAATTATGTATGCAATTATGTATGTATGTATGTATGTATGTATGTACGTATGTATGTATGTACGTATGTATGTATGTATGTATGTATGTATGTATGTATGCATTATGTGTATGTGCATATATATATATGCGGAAATACAAACCTACATACATTCGTATCTACATGCATGCATGTGCTTAGAGTAGGGTAGACAAGGGCTTTGGTTCCATAAGGGCTCTACAACGGTTGCCGGCGGGGTTACAGGAGGTTGCCCGGGAACGTCCGGGACCTTGATCCCGATTACCCGGTTCCTTGTTGCCCGTATGGTGGCCAAAGGATGCGGCCAGGGTCATTCTGTGCACTGCGGCCTACCTGTCCGAAAATACCGAGTTTGAACCGCTGTTTTAGTCGCTTCCAACCGATCTAGCCTTGAAGACGAGCATGGACTGGGGGTTCCGAGTCCATTCTCAATGTTTCATGCTTCTTCTTTCGAACTTGTTCACCTTTCCATACAGGCATCTATGCTCCAGCATCAACGCTGGGCATTCCCAACATTTCGGCCGCAAACTCCTCAAGAACCACACATGTAAAGCGCCCTCTAAGCTTAACGCGGGCTTGCCCCAAACCCAGCCTATAGCCCGGTTGATCATTGTCGTCAGTGCAAGTCCCATCTTTAACCTTTCCCTGAACAAGTGGGGGATCCCCTTGGCTCTACGAAATTTATAATCAGTGAGACTTAAGCCACAAGATCGCCTGGGCCTTAGTCACGTCCCACAACCCTGAAACCTAAACCCTGAACGGCCCTGTGAAGCTTCACAACTGAAGCCAAAAACCTTCCTTCCCTAAGCCCCAACATCCAAATCCTAAGCCCTATAAAACCCTTGCAAGGACCCTTTTACGGACCTTCGCTTCGCTTCGTCCAGAGGTCCTCGCCGCTGTCTAATGGCCATGGCGAAGAGCAACAGCGAAGCTGGGCCAGGGGCCCCTGAGGGTTTAGCGGTTTAGGGGTTTAGGGGTTTAGAGTTTAGGGGTTTTGGGCTTTAGGGGTTTATGGTGTAGTTTTGCCCTTCTTATTTTGGGGTTTAGGGTTTAGGGTTTGGGGGTTTAGGGTGCTTTGAAAAGAGACCTATAAGTGTTCGATTAAGGGTTCCTATACATTTAAGGGATCTCTACGTTTTCGGGTTTGGCGGTTTAGGGTTTGGGGTTTGGGGGTTTGGCTTGGGGTTCGTGCAATTTCGGACTCCCGGATACACATACAAGGACAACGTGAAGATTAAGGCTTTCATACTATGGTATCAACTGGGGGTTGGGGGCATTTTAAGTTTTGAGAGATTTATGGTTTTGGACCCAGGGCTTGGGATCAGGATCCACGGGATTCCAAACCGTCTGTTGAACCCTAAATCCCAGACCCTGAAACCCCACACCCTAAACACTTGACCGTAAACCCTAAAACTCTACCTAGACCGGGCCATTGGCTCAGAGTTGGTAGGTCTAGGACTTGGGGCATGTATTCTCAACGGCAATCTACACCTGGCACTCCTAAAACTGAAGACTGGAGTCCCAACTCAATGAAGAGCAACTTCAGCCCTAAGCAGCACGATTGACACAAGCAAGGAATGAAGCGTAGTAGAACCAGCAATACGAATTCGAGGACTGCTTCGGGTGGGATTCTTGTAAACGGAATCCACTCGCAACCATTCCCGAGAAATCCCTAACTGCAAGGCTTTGGTTAAAGGAGTCAGCACGCCCGAAGGAGTCTTACTACTACTACTACTACTACTACTACTACGACTACGACTACGACTCCGACTACGACTACGACTACGACTACGACTACGACTACGACTACTACTAC